CAATTGGGCATCGTTTAAATGCCACGGCCTACCTGAGCATTGTTTCTGACCATGTCCATCCCTTTATTTAATTGGGGCCCTTAATTGGTTTCTTGAACATGACAATGAGTTCACTGTACTAAAATGGCCCCCACAGTCACCAGATCTCAACCCAATAGAGCATCTTTGGGATGTGATGGAACGGGAGCTTCGTGCCCTGGATGTGCATCCCACAAATCTCCATCAACTGCAAGATGCAATCCTATCAATATGGGCCAACATTTCTAAAGAATGCTTTCAGCACCTTGTTGAATCAATGCCATGTAGAATTAAAGCAGTTCTGAAGGCGAAAAGGGGTCAAACACCATATTAGTATGGTGTTCCTAATAATCCTTTAGGTGAGTGTATATATTACATTAGAAATAGCCAGTAGTTTTAAATAAGTAATAAACCCAAATTATTAAAGTGCTGTTCCGAGCTTAATTGACAAGCAGTCGCATTGGGTGCTTTTTAATTAGTAACACTTAGTATCGCCTTGGGAGCCAGTGACTACAATTGCAATTAATAGCAAAATGGCAAGAACAGAACTGAATGAGTCTGTCAAAAATGTCTGTGCAGAAGATATCTGCAGATATGTTAATGGATTTTGTTATTAAATTGACAAATTTGCAACATTTTTACAGAATTAAATTGGAAAGTATCAAGTACTTAGACTGACTATTGAATGTCATAATGTCAGTGTGTCACAGAAAGTGACAGAAAACACTGACAGAAGAATATGCTAATAATTTGTCATTGTTATACTGTTTTAAAAAGCTGTCACAAACTGTTGTAGCCTTTTATGTGTACAAACAAAGAGTAACTCTGAAAATATAAAATGCATTATTATTATTTGATTCTGTCCAGTTGATGCAGACTCCTGGCAACCACACAAACATCTTTTTTCCAGATAGTTCTGTCCTTTTCATTAATTCACATATACTGTAAACAATTATACTTTGAGATGGACAGGTGTGCTCCATCCTCCAGAAGTGTGAACTTGGTTCTGGCCCTGAGTCTGTGTGTATGAAGTTTGCGTGTTGCTCTAGTGTTTGTGTGAGTTTGCTGCATATGTTCTGGTTTCCTCCCACTCAAAGATGTGGTTTATGTACATCAGTGTCTCTAAATGGCCTTTAAGGAGTCCGTTCGCCCTGCAATACACTGTCATTCTGTAGAAGTGAACCTCATGCTTACTACAATAAGCTTCCAGCTTATTAATACTGTTACGTTCGGGTGTCGACGAGTGAACAAGCAGGTGACCGAGCCGTGAATACGGGCAGAAACGGGGTTTATTTAGGCAAGACGAGCAAACACGGCAACAAAACATCAATGACTGATCTGGGGAAACAGACTTGAACGTGGACTAAATACACAAGACAAGCAGAAAATAACAGGCAACTGGTGATCACAATCGGAAATTAACACGAGGTAATGAGGGTGGCGTGACACACAGGAGGATCAGACCAGCAGGTCGTGACAAATACCACCAGTATTGGATATGTGATGTATGACAGATGTAATAAACTAGTAAATATGATTTAAAAAGCACTTTATTGCACTAAATCACCTTTATTAGTCACATTACTACATTTGCCTGATTTAGAGAAATAGATTCTCATGTATTTAATAGGAGCATTAAAATTCACTATGGTAAGAAATTATTTTTCAAAGTAAGTCATAAAATGCAGCTGTTGTCCAGAAAGATTCCTGTTAAAATTCAGACACGTATTTCAAACTATTGCATATTCATGCATTTAAATGCAGCAGTTTCCTAATAGCTTTTTTTGTTAGCCTCAAAGTCCCAAAGGAAAAAGACCGATTTAATTTCTGTTACTGTTAATATGCTCATCTGCCTTATCTCAGATTGACCTGTAATGTTATATAGAAGATTGTTATAATATCATGTTACAACTTAGTTTATATGTCAAAGAATTAAACTGCAATCATTACATAATGGTTATTTTTGTGTTTGGGTTTGATTAGCTCTTGGGGTAAATACAGACAAACAGCTTTATTGCATCAGTGAGATGATCCCCCCCCCCATCTGTGCACTTGTTTGGTACCCTGGATGCTGAACCCCTCCTTCCATCCCTCCAGGAGGACGAGCCAAACATGTTTGGGGAGGAGGGCAGAGACGCAGCTGAGATCCGGAAGTTCCTGAGCCAGAAGGAGAACAAGTTACCATGGAAACCAGAGGTAAGATGTCTGGAAAAAATTATGCACAATGTGGGTTTAACTTGCTTTTATGCACTTAGGTGATTTTCGACACCAGTGTTACATGGTCTGTTCACAGAAACATTTCTGCCCGTCACAATACAGCAGTTTTCACATTTTCAGATCATTTTATTCCATAATCACAGGCCTTTTAGATATTTTAGAAAGAGCATGTTTCAGGGTTGTAAGGTCCATTGATCTTTAAAGACCTAGGTAGTATGTCATTAGAGTTAAAAATCATAATCCAGCTGTTTGCTCCCCTCAGTTTGATAAACCCCCCCATCGAGAGTGTCTTCTCATCATTGCAATTGTCTCCTCGCAGTGGCTTTTCCACAGAGCCTTTCATCACCTGCACGCTCCAGCTATTTCCCAGGAGATGTATCCTCCTACTATAACAGCAAAAAAAATCATGATGCAGTACAGAGTGTAATTGTGCAATACACAGTGCAACTTGTTTTTTACACTGGGTATTGGGCGATGTTTTTGCAATGGTTAAAGTAAAACAGAACAAGGGCTTTTTGACAGACGCACTGTGGACACTGCTTCTGCCCCCAGACGAATAGCCCAAGGCCCTGATATTTCTTCTCTCACACCTTTGGCGCCTCATGCCAGCCATTGCACCTGGGGGCTTAAAGAGAGTGTAAAGGGTGTACGCGTCCTTGCCCTCCACCCGCCATTCTGCCGTCCAGTCGTATATAAACAGATACGGTGTGAAATCTGAAATGCTGGACGGTTTAAGTCACTGTGGATAAAAGAACCCAATACTCTAATTAACCCTAATAACAGAATCTGGCCATCCACCCGATTGACACCCTGCGGGAAGCTGTGCCCTGGGGTAGGATGGATGAGCGCCCGTGGGGTGCTGGGCCAGATGGCCCGTGTTATTTATGGGAGTGCTTGGCAAGGTGCAGTGAGGCATCGGGCTGGGCAGGCGGCGGCCATGTGGGGAGATGGGGCTGCCGCCGCATCCGGCATGAGTTATGAAGGCCTTCGCCCTGTTTCTCACGGCCGCTACGGATGACCTGGCGCTGGCGGAGCCACGATATTCATCACACAGGTATTTCTAGAGATCTCTGGGCTTAGGTCCCTGTGAAAGCGAGACAACAGTTGTCCATCTCATTTATAGTCTGGTTTTATGGTGCTGAAAGCGACACATTGAGCACAAAAGAAGGCTGTTTATCATGGCGCGCGTAGCTGTGAAACAGCTTCTTGGGCAGGTGACGTGGGATGTTCTTCAGGATCCAACTACCAGGACAAATTACTAAGGGGAATTATTTATTTTCAATGTAAATGTAAATTTGTCGTAATGATACCTGCTGAAAAGATGCAATGGGTGAATGAGAGCTTTTTCTCTATAAATACCACTGCACGTGTGTTTTTGAGTTCTGTGATGACTTACGAGCTCTGGGGTGAGCCTGACTGGTCCTTCTATGTAGGCAAAGGAAGTGAAGGTAAAAAATGGTATAGGCCAGGGAGCTGGGAGATCTGCTAAGAGGCTGCTAAGAGCTACTGTCAGCAGATCGGTAGTGTCAACACAGTTAAACCCAGCAAGACTGTCTGATTTAGCTGGTGCTAAGAGGCTGGCTTTTAGATGGCAGCTTCCTGTAGTCATTAGCATGGCCAGTTGTGGGCCAATCAGAGATGGGGCCACTTCATATATATACAAGCACACCAACCAAGGGAAAAGTGGTAATTTTGTCTCCTTGGTTACACAAAAGTATATCAGGAAGGTTTATAGATTGTCTCCATAGTAGCCATTAAGAAGCTCGGAAGGCATTACTGAGGAACATTGAAAGGATTTTGTTTCTCTATGATAAGACTGAGAGCCAGAGCAAACCTGAGGATTTGCACAGGTCACTACAGTATATGAGTCTTATAAAAACGGTCAAGATTTTTCTGAGATACCAGAGTGTCTGACATTTGTTAGCCGATATTTGCAAATACCCAACCGCTGTGCCGAGTAAGTCTGCTTGATCAGAAATATATTGCCTTTTATTGCCCATTGTGTGATGTGACAAAGAGTGTTTCTGTGGAAAGTCTCCTGATAGAAAAATACTTTCACTGGAGACACACAGCCAGAATCCCGTGCGCAATCTCCTGCAGAGGGCCGTGCTGGTGGAGACATACCAGGAATGGAACACCAAGGTTCATCCTGGATGTCATCTTTAATCTCCCAGGAGAGACACTGAGCAGTGAGGCTATATACAGATGTATGTGGGCTTATGGCACATCACTGTGGAAATGAGTGACTGTGGGCTTATGGCACATCACTGTGGAAATGAGTGACTGTGGGCTTATGGCACATCACTGTGGAAATGAGTGACAGAACTCAGAGAAAAGCAGGATTACCAGGGCTGTTGTGTGATTACCCTGGTTTTTGGTAGGAAGTACATCAATTAATGTGAGATCTTTCATGGTAAAAACTTTGACTCATATCCTAACATAGTGTAAAATTTTAGCTGTGTCACTAAAAGAATGTTTAGCTTCAGGGATTCAAAACAACTATAGAAAGAGTGTTGGCGATAATAGGGCATAACTTTTACAATAAAATATGCGTTGCACACTATTTCACACTTCATACACATTTTTACAAGAACTTTATTGTTAAAGACAATACATAATCCTTATAGGGAATATTTCTCTAAATAAACATCAATAGTCATACATCACAAGAAGCAATGTAAGTGCAATATTAGTACATTTGTGAAGTTGTGAAGTTTTTTTTTAATTTGAAAAATAATACATACAGTTTTTTTGTTGTGATGTATTTCAATTTACTGTGAAGCATGATATTATGTACTCAGATTATTATGATACAGGAGACAGCAATTTCAGTAAGTAAGATGTGCACGGAACCATGGGAGGACTGTAAACTTTAAAGGAATCTGCCATCATTTATTTATATGAGTGCTTCTCCAGGATATTGATTCTTTGTGTTACTGATGTGCTGCTTTAAGGGCTGCAAGTAGAAGGATAATGATTCATAGTAACATACCATGGAACTGTCACTGCTGTCAATGCAGCGGATGCTCTTGTATCTTTTGTATGTCTTCCTTCCTTTCTAAATCCGCCATGTTTCTCCTGTGCTCATCCCACAGTACAAAGGCCAGGCTAACCTTCATGTGTTTGAAGACTGGTGTGGCTCCTCAGTTGCCCAACTCAGGAAGAATCTCCACTTCCCTTTGTACCCTCATGTAAGTCAGCAGATCTTCTGGATAAGCAAATGCTTTCCCAAGTGCTCAGCATGCTTGAACCAACTGCTAACTGGCCTTTGTCTCTAAGAAAAGTACTACAAAGATCTCTTAGTCAAAAAAAGATATTTCAAATTAATTTCAGTTGCTAGAAAAAAGCACAATAACAGTAAGACCTTACAATTACATTCACATTCAGGACACTGATGCTTTGCATATATTTTTTCCTGAATTAATTTATGAAGTTCATGATTACAGTTGAGAACCACAGTGAAGAAACTGGCAGTTGCTCCAAGATGGAAGAATTATGGCCTTCGGATATTTGGTTTCATTCACCCATATAAGGATGGTGAGTGAACATTTATATTTTTTGTGAGTTATTATTTTATTCAGTTTCATTGTAGAAATTGTCTCATATATACATGTATCCCCCACTGTGTGAAAGTAGAGTGTTCCTGTGAAATAGGAGCGAAGAAACAATTACCATAAATTTATATGGGAAAAACTTTTGAACGTTCCCAGACCCAAAGAATAACCTACCAAATCATACCTAATAACACACAAAATCTAGAATAGCACATTAAATGCTGTGATATATATGATATGATATGATATGATATGATATATATGATATGATATGATATGATATGATATGATATGAGATGATATGATATGATATGATATGAGATGATATGAGATGATATGATATGATATGAGGTGATGTGATGTGATGTGATATGATATGATATGATATGATATGATATGATATGATATGATAAATGCACATTTGATTTTGCTGTTGTGAGAATGGCAGGGAGGGGGGCAGCCAGGTGACCTTGGACCCCCAGAGTTTTTTTTCTACCTACTTGGGAGTTTTTGGTTCCTCTCCTCCTGTTGTCATCTGGCTTTCATTTATTTCTTTGTCTTTCCAGCTCTCTATTTTTGTATTTTTCTCTCTTTATGATGCTGCACTTATCACAACACACCCATGTAAAGCGCCTTGGGGCGACACTGTTGTGAAAGGCGCTATATAAAAATAAATTGATTTGATTGGAATTGAACATCATAAAGTGTACTTACCCAAAAGTATATGGTACAGCCTATTACACACTTGGACTATATGGTATAGCCTAAATACCGATAACTGCAGTATAGTAAATACATAAACCAGTAACACAGTTGTTCATTATCATTATTACGTAATATGTACCGTACGTAATTGTATGTGCTATACTTTTATATGACTGGCCGTGCAGTAGGTTTGTTTACACCAGCCTCACCCCAAACATGTGAATAACGTGTTGCGCTACAATGTTATGAAGGGTACGCCATCACTAGGCAAAAAGAATTTTCACCACCATCGTTGACAGAAACATTGTTATGCGGCACCTGACTGTATATCTATAATTGGGTCGCAGATAAAGAAACGCTACACACTATTTTCACTTTGTGAAACAAGTACTAATGTAGACCTACCGTAAAACCAAAGTGGCATAAAGTGAATGTTTGCAAAGCAGGGGGTACCTGTACTGTACTGTAGCTAAACCACTGTGCGTTGATAATTTGGCAGCACATTAACAATTATTTATATAAAACTGAAGTCATATTTTCTTGAACTTGATGAAAAAGATGGTATGACCCAACATTACAGCTGTAATGTTTATCCTTAAAATGACCTTCTGGCAGGATCAGAGCTAGAGATCTCCATCCCCATTTATGAAAAATAATAAGAGTCTTGCCTCCTTGGTAGAACATTATTGAGGTACTGTAGATACTGCAGGCATGTGATCTCTTATACACTCTTTTAAGAAATGTATTCACCCAGTTGTCTTGCATAACTTTGTTTACGAGAAGAGATTATACTGTAGATAATGCAATACTGGAATGTGTGGGCAGTTTGCAGAAGTACAGTATATCATGTGAGATGTTTGTGTTTTTTTCCCCACCTGCAGGGGATTTCCAGTTTGCTGTGTCTTCCGATGACAACTCTGAGTTTTGGCTGAGCCCCGATGAGAGCCCCCATAATGCCAGGTTACTGGCATACGTGGGCCGAGTGAGTATCAGCGAGGACGAAGCTCGCGGAAAAAATGGACTGCCTGAACTAATCAGTGTGTTATGTAAAGGTGCATCTTCAGCTTGGTGCTTGCAGGCTGAAAATCAGACAGCTAATAAACAGCACCTAACATGTGGTAATGTTACACATAATCCTTAGATTAACAGAGCTGTCACATTTAAACAGTTAAAACAAGAAATACTCAGGTGTTCCATAATTGCATGTCAGTGTGTATAGATACTTACATAAATGTACAAAAAATCTTGCTGCAAATTGCCCAACACTGCTTAAACCAAACAGCACAAAAAAGAAATATCTACAAAGTGCATTGAATAACCTGATGCTCATATTATAGCATACAAAAGTGTTACAGAATTAAGTTCAGTAATCAAGATGCGGTCTATCTTTGCCTGAAGTTGAATTTGCCTTGATACAAGCAGAGGACATATGCTAATAAGAAACAACAGAGTCATTGGAAACATCCACACATTCTGGGAGCTTCCAAAGCTAAATATGGACATTTTACTCAGATGGTTTATGTGTCTGCCTTATTGCACCGTGATAGCAGCGAGGGAGCTTTGGACGTAATCGGTAGCATGTATTTGGAAGACATTTTGGCATCGTGGGAAAAAAATGTTTAAAAAGCTCCATAATTTATAAGTGATGGGTGACCATTTGTCTCACCTGTGAGGCAGGAGCTGGGAATGAAGCATTACTGGACTAAATGAATGTGGTTCTAAATATTGTGTAACTTTGGTTATTAGATTAAAATGCCCCATACTGACAGAGATGGATTTTTCCAGTGGATTTCAATGCAGCTGACAGCAAAGACACCCAGTTTAAAAAGGTCCTCTGGCATGAGGTGCTGGGTGTCATTTTGAGCAGTGCACTGGTACAGATAGGGAAATATCACGGCTCAATACTACATTCATATCTCATAACCCTTATCTCCTGACAATCAGTGTCATCTCAGTAAGCCCTGGAAGATGCAAAGAGGCAAGATGGACAGATACAGTGCAGCCAGTCACAGTGGGGAGAAGCCCAGACATGTCTTCTTCATGCATAAAATAACACTTTCTTGTCTCTAAGTAATTCTGTTAGTGCTTGCCTTAAATCTGTTCTGCTATCATTCATCAGAATTATGTCCTTTGGATATTTAACTTCATTCACCCATATAGAGATAATGAGTGAGCGTTTGTATTTCTTGTGAGTTGCTATTTCATTTAGTTTCAAGGTAGCAATAGTCTCTTGTATATTGCTAATCCGCTATGTGTTGATATTAAACCACGAACAGTTATTATTTGTGTGGAACCTAAGTACTTTTTTTGACCATGATGAAAAAATGGCACGATGCAGATATCTGATAATTCTTCTTCACCGCTTGCTAAAGATGTAAAGCAGATGCATCCTCCTGTAAGCTTGAAACTGCAGAGTTCTTGCTTTGAGCTTTGAAGCTCAGAGCTGGAATGGACCAGGCACAGGTCAGATTAGCCTTTATACAGCGGCTCAGATGTCAGGGAGAGATGACAGGCTGTCAGGCTGTCGTCACACCGCCATGCACAAGGAACCCACCTCCCAGTAGTTCCCACATATGACTCGGCAATCATGACGAGACTGGTCGTACCACAGAAATGGGTTGGCAATGTGCCCATTTGCTGTGATAGCTTCCCATGCTCAGCTTCAGTGAATATCTGACAATCATGCAAGATTTCCTTCAAATCAGAGTTACGTTCCTTGTTTTACCTTGCAGACAAACGGATAGAAAATTAGCTTCAACGCCTAATAGAGCTTAGAACTGAAATGATACAATTACTGTAAACCCCAAATCACAAAAATTATATCCCATGTTTACACATTAGTCTCATTATTCTGCCCTGAAATGTTGTTGTAAGACAACCTGACAGTGGCTAAAATGCTCTGTTAGATAAGTAAAATAGCTCTTTAGCTATTTTTAGCTGTCCACATTCGGCTCATTCTTAAAACATAGAGTTAATTCGTCATTTGTTTTCAAGCTGCTTTTGGTGGGGGAAGGCGGAGGGGGACTTGAATGTGCAGCAGAAAGCTAATAGTATTAAATTGCCTAAATTAATGAGCTCGCAAAATGAAAGAGACAGGAATTTATTCTGTGCCTGCAAACATTCACTCAGTCTCTTACACGAAGATGGAGGGGAGAGGTAATTCACCTCGACCAGATAGATTTTCTGGGAGAGAAGGGGAGCAAATGAAGATCTGCGAGTGTCATTGAATCAGACTGACGTCAATACCACCCCCTGTACCTTCCGTTGCCAGAAATACACCTTTGTACATCAGCTCTTTGCATTAAGATATGGTTTTCGTCAATGAACTGGTCAGCTAAGGAACATGAATAAGGTGATCAAGTAAAGGGCTTTACTGAAGTGTGGCACACATATTCATTAATTAACAGTTAATGTCCCAACAGCAGTTAAGAATATATCACATTTAACTCGTTAAAGGTCCTTAAAAAGTAATTGATTGAATGTCATTACCTGCTGGGCCAAGGACTTACGACAATCTCCTCCACGGTGGTGGTTGTCAGTTACACTGAAAATATTGATTTGGTCTGGCTGGAGGTTGAAAGATTTTCATTACACACACAATCTGGGTCAATAATCTGACTGCAGTGCTATGGAAAAGAATACCAGACGAAGAGTCTCTTTGAAGAGTTCAGGCTCAGAAGTTGGCTCAAATTTATTTTGTCTGTCTATTTATTTTTAGGTTTCCAAGAAAGTAGCACACAGCAAAGTGATAATGTCCGTAAAATAAGTCAGGTTGACTTTTTGATGAGGGTTTTTCCACAATGCTCGATGCATTGCTAAACTCTGTCATATTCCTGGATGCTGATAGGTGAGTAATCGTTCACATAGTCCAAAATTAATGGGATTAAAATCATATTTGAATTGACACATTGAGTTTTCTGATATCAATTGATGTCCTTTTCGCAAACGCATTATTATTATTATTATTATTATTATTATTTCTAGTGTGGTCAGCTCAGCCTGCTTAAACTTTAAGGCAAACAAGTGTCCTTTCAGACAAAATGCCCACTCAGATGTAAACAATTTAGACCTCTGTGTGGATCCCTCCAAGCCAGGTCTGAATGCCTCAGGGGTGCCAAGTGTGAGTGTGGGCTTAGTGATGCCGGAGATGGCGTGCAGCACCAGCAGGACATTCTGTGGGAGCGAGCCGAATGCCTTCAGGCCGTTCTGAGTCGGCCTACACAGACAGCGGCGTCCTCATGGCAGATGCCTGTTTGACAAGCTGCGAGGAGCAGCAAGGAGTTTATTGACACTACGCTCCACACGATTATATGGCAAAAATAAGCACAAGCAATTATGAGGCACCGTGCTGCAGCTTCTGCCTTTTGTTTTCATACTGTGTAGCGTGGTTGCAGGGCAGCTAATTACAGGACCCTCTGACAACCTTGCTTGGTTAAGAAGCTGAGCTATAAGAGCTATAAGGGCTATAAGGGCGCTTTGCCATGAAAGAATACCTCTCTCACGTTCTCTCCATCCCGCATCAGTAGCCACAGAGAAGCACCTGCCCATCACCAAAGCCCTCAATTCAGTTCCTCTCAGAAATTTCCTTTACTCAAACTTAAAAAAGACAGTTTATATGTGTTTTTTCAAGGGTCTACATTGTGGATTCATGTGTTATTTTGTAATTTTGTCATACAGTTCATGCATATAGATAATAGACATGCTGTGTAGTGACTTCTACATAAAAAAAATACTATAAACAATAAATACAGAGCAATGGTGCAACAACAACTAGAGAAGATGCTGTTGAAACATGTCCAATGTATTCCCCATCTAAGCCTTACTCCTTCCACACTCCCCAAGCTCCACAAGTAATTGATGGATCACCTGGAAATGTGAAAGCCAATAAATGTATATTTACCTGAATGCTTTGAATCCTACTTGTGATGCATAACTCTGAAACTATACCGATTCATGTATTCCACTTACATACCGATTTTATTCTTTCCTCACCAGTAAGGTGGTTAACGATTTTTCTTTGTCTGTCTTAATGTTTGTCTTAAAATGTCATTTATATTATTTATATTTTTTATATTTATATTCTATTTCTTTCTTAGTCGTACTATGCCCAGCGTTTTCAGGGACATAACAGTGAGAACTACAACAGACACACTCATGATATAACTGAGTAACTACAGGTAATGTCAAACAGACACAGAGACACATACAAACCTCATTGTGATTTTCTTCTGAAATCAAATGCTACTGCTACTGTACACACACAAGCTTCAGTTAGCTGACCGAAAACTGCCCCACAGTCTCAGTGTGGTGTACATAAAATCTGTGTAATATATCAGACCCCAAACTTCTAAAAACTAGAAAACAAAAGAATAATTGTTATATTAGAATTTTAACTTAGGAAACAGATGTATATTTATTATAATGCGGGAGTTACGATGAGTATGCATACAAATGCAAAGAAGGTTATAAAAAACGAACAAGATATATTCCCTGGACAGTCATTCCCCTTCCCTTATGGAATCACTACTCCTCACACACCCATCAACCTTTATCTCTAGCCCCCTACAATAAGATTTTTTTATACGTACTGTCTTACCTTTCACCAGACCTGCTCTTGCTCTTACATGTACTGAGTAGGACTAGGGCTTCAATTCCTCCATGACAAATTTCAGCCATCAAAACAACAAAGAATTCACAGCATACTGAAAATATTTCCATAATACCACCCAAGCCTACTCTACACACAATCCCTACCTCTCCAAAAACATTTACTAAAAGCCCGAAGCCCATTAGATTTCCCCACGAGAAAATTCCCCACAGTACATTTTCACTGACCTGCTACCAGACTGCTACTAATAAAATGAGCAGGGGGGCTGGAGACAAATAAAATGTATACAAGAACCTTTTGAATATTCAGAAAATCATCTTGTGGCCCACAGTTTGAGAACCACTGATGTTCAATGTTCAGTTTGGGGGCAGCTCGGCTTATTTTTGGGAAAAAGTATTTTTCCTACTTTTGCTACTTCCAAAAATTCAATTGCAAGGTAGAGTCTGTCATTTAATAATAATCTATCAAATGTGAAAGCCTTATACTGGGACAGGATAGGAGATAATTCCAAAGTCTTTTTTGCCTGCTAATGAATGTGTAACAATGTAATTTAGCTCTGCATTTGCTTGTCAGCATGTGCCACCTGGACTGATTTGTGATTTTATGCAGTTCATTGTGCATCATTTTAGTTTTTCTGTCTTTCTTTGAGTAATTGTTATATCTAAGCAGCTCTCTGTACTGTGCTAACCTTTAATATCTTTCAGTAAAATTAAATGGGTTTCTCCGTTTTTCATAGGTTCATTTACTGGTGCCTAGATTGTCAGGCCTCATGTGTAATGTGAACTTCAGGCATATATTAAGGTTATGCTGTATTTTTGCCATGATCAAAATCCACCACCCTGATTAATTGACCTGACATTGTTGCTTCTCTGCTGTCCCGTCTAAGCATTTTGAATAATTTCCTGGGAAGCTGGTTGTTTATTTGTTCATGTATTCCTTTTGTATAGTGGTCTAAAAAGACCCATTAAGTGATAAAGCAGATCTGATTGTAGCTTGCTCTTCGGTGTATGACAGCAGATCTGATTGTAGCCTGCTCTTCGGTGTATGACAGCAGATCTGATTGTAGCCTGCTCTTCGGTGTATGACAGCNGCCTGCTCTTCGGTGTATGACAGCAGATCTGATTGTAGCCTGCTCTTCGGTGTATGACAGCAGATCTGATTGTAGCCTGCTCTTCGGTGTATGACCGTCTCTCTTCTCCTGCAGCTGGGATCTGAGTGGACTGCTCCAGGGGAATTCAGCAAGTTTAGATCCCAGTCCTCCAAGTCTGTCCAGTAAGTATCTGTGGCAAGAGCCCTTGATCTCACCTCAAATCATTATTCTTCCTTTTTAGCATAATTAACCAAAATCATTTTAATGACCAGTGTTTGTGTTCAACACATCAATAATTAAATATAGTGGCAAACCAAGCTAAATATATTACTCATAAGACTATATACACTTAAGTATTATCACACGCACCAACAGATATAAGCCCAATAAATGTATTTAAATCCATGGATTCCCCTCAGTTTTGTAGCTTGAGAGAGATCATTATCTGCAGCAGCATTGTCTGCTTGTTAGAACAGTGCAGAGGCCTCATCACGCCTTGACCCTGACAAGCAGCCAAGCGGGAGCATCAGGGAGCTGAGTGTCCCCTCATATCTGAGAGAGGAATGCTGAGGAACACGGAAATATCAGCTCTCCCCTCTGTAATCATGATGATCATGTCTACCCTCATGAAATATTTAGATTGCAGATACAACTACTGCAGTTCCCTCAAGTTTTTGCTTAAAAAAGAAAAATATTTCTATTTATTTTAGAAAGACGTGAGACAAAATTGTTAATTGGGTATGTGAGGACTCCAAAGTATTTTGTAGTGGTTCGTGAATAAGACGTATTACCTCATGGCTGCATTTTCTAAACTTTAGAGATGTCCTTAACCTGTGTATCTACTTAAGCTGTTTTCTTCAGTAAATATCAAGCAGAATGCAATGATTTGTGAATCATATAAACCCATATTTAATTGAAAATAGAAAGACAACATATCCAATGTTGAAACAGAGAAATTGTTTTGTTTTATGAGAAATATATGCTCAATTTGAATTTGATGCCAGTGACATGTTTCAAAAAAGTTGGGACAGAGGCAACAAAAGACTGGAAAGTTGTGTAATGCAAAACAAAACACCTGGTTGAATATCTCACAACTAATTAGTTTAATTGACAACAGGTCAGTAAGATGACTGGGTATAAAAAGAGCCCCCAGAGAGGCATAGTCTCTGTGCAGTGAAGATGGGGAGAGGTTATTTAAGATAGACTAAGGCAAAATGGAGAACTCTCTTGTGGTCTAACAAATCAAAATTCCAAATTCATTTTAGAAATCATGGACACCATGTCCTGTGGGGGTAAAGAGGAGAGGGACCATCCAGCTTGTTATCAGCAGACAGTTCAAAAGCCAGCATCTGTGATGGTATGGGGGTGCATTAGTGCCTATGGCTTGGGTACCTTGTAGATCTGGGAAGGCACCATTAATGCTGAATGATATATACAGGTTTTGGAGCAACACATGCTGCCAACCAGACATCATTGTATATTTCAATGAGACAAAACACATGCTGCACATATTACAATGGTATGGCTCCATAGAATGGCCTGCCTGCAGTCTAGACTTGTCACCTATTGAAAACATTTGGCGCATCATGAAACGAAAAATATGGCAAAGAGACCCAGAACTGTTGAGCAATTGAAATCCTGTATCAGGTAAGAATGGGACAACTTTTCACTTTCAAAACTCCAGCAACTGGGCTCCTCAGTTCCCAGATGTTTACAGAATGTCGTTAAAAGAAGAGGCGATACAATACAGTAGTAAACATTCCCCTGTCCCAACTTTTTTGAAACATGTTGACATGAAATTGAAATTTAGCATGTATTTCTCATAAAATGATAGTTTCAACATTTGATATACTATCTTTGTTCTATTTTTAGTTAAATATGGATTTATATGATTTGTAAATCACTGCATTCTGCTTTTGTTTACACTTTACACAACGTCCCAACTTTTTTGGAAAAAGGGTTGTAAACTGCATCAGGGGCTGAATAATGTCAGCATTGTGGACTGTCGGTTTAAAATTCCTGTCCATGTCTCCTCTTCATCTGGCATTTATTAGCACTGAACACCAAAATCGGGTCGAGTGGTGTGTTGCATTGAATAATTCACAAGTACTTCTAAGATTTAATAATAGTGTGTGTGCACTAGAATAATTTTAGCACTTACAAACAAACAGGGCCTATGGTGACAAGTGTTTACAGGATGTTCAAAGAATGACTTTCATGACAAGGTGAGATTCTTTGTGTGTAGCTCTGATTTTTGAGAAAGTAAGGTACAGAAAGTTTCTCCTTTAAAAGCTTTATGAAGAAGTGGAGTAGCAATGAAAACGTCACTGAATGTGACAACTGGATTGGTTATTCAAGTACAGCTTTTATATGTGTTTTTAGAAAGCTACATTATTTTTGTATGTTAATGTTAATTTTTTAAAAGCTATTACCCCATAATAACAATTCCCTCCCTGAATTATAATGCCACACTGTTGCAACGTGGAAGCTGTAAGTCCTCAGCTTTTCGTACCTGTCTGCAAAACTGCAGAGACTACAGAGGAAGAATGCTGTCTGTCCCCAGGGTCATCCAAACACAGTTTTTTTTTGGTACTATTTATACCAAGTCCCACTTGGTAGACGCTCAGCCCTCTATCTGTGGAGAGTGGATGTTGATGTGAGTGTTGATGTGGCACAGTGGAGGTTAGTACTGTAGAGAGTCCTTTTAGCTGCCATTGAAGTATTTTTTTGCTCTTTCTGCTTAAAGTGCTGCCCGTCAAAGATTTTTCACGTCACGCGTCTTTCATGTTTTTTGTTTTGGATCCGCCATGGATGCAGGAAGCCTGAGCTTCCAGCCCACAAGCTGAAAAATGTCCCGGGTTAAATTTACACGGTGAGAGCTGCGTCAGGCCTTGTCCAGGAAAGGTCCCTGTGGCCGTCATTTCACAGGTTCGGCTTCTAGTTGTCGATCTGCTTTTTTACCCTTGAGTTAGATATTTAACTTGAGCCTTGAATGTCGCAGCAGTATTCCCAAATACATATTTAACAGGTTCTGTACATTATTTCCAATGGTATTTTGACTAAAGAGTTCTATAGACATATGTGCACATACGTGGGACACAGGATTGCCATGTGCTCCTCATCATTAGAGTGGCCATAATGATCCCACCCTACTGCTCTAATGATTTCTCTCTGGCAGACGCTGTCGGAACAGTGTGAAAGTGGCTTTTTCTTCACCCGGGCCAAGAAGTCAGGTCCAGTTTCTGAGTATTAGACTGTGTGTCACTGAAAAGAGCAGAGGCTGTTGTGTGTTTGGGTGTTGCTTGCATCTGCTGACTGCTTGCACTTGTGGTCAAAGAGGGGAGGGTAGGGCAGGAATGCTTGTGCCCCGGCACCTAAATCATTCGCCGGCTCTCTAAATCTGCCCCAGTTGTCACGAGCTTTTGGAATGGCTCCGACCGCAGGCATGAAATGATTAAAACACCATCTACATGCACACTGAGAAAGTCTCAGAACAAAGTATGGCAAGTGTTTGGAAGAAGCCCTTGGGAGAAGAGAATGCGTCACTGGAATATGCCTCTCCATGTCAAACTGCTCGAGTTGGGCTCACACTGCATCACAAAACCTACTTTTATAAGATATATTCCCTAGCTCTTCAGCAGAATACCTGGAACATGAATGGTGCATTACTGAACAGTAACAATACTACTACTACTATTGTTATTGTTGCTCATATTATTATTATTATTATTGTTATTAGTAGTAGTAGTAGTAGTAGTAATAGTAGTAGTGGTAGTAATAATAAGGATGATAACAATTTCCTTTTATTAAGGTTCCAAGTATATCTTCATGCTCTGCTATCCTGCTCTGTTGATAGGGCCATTTAGTTCGAAAATCAGCTGATTCATTATCCATATCTCTGGTCTTATCAATGATAATGATTCGACTAAACATGGAAATCCACACTTAGCCACTGACCCATATTGTCATACAGGCAGTGCTATGTGACTTTGACGTGAAAATACAACTATAAGCTGCAGTGTGTGACGTTTTGAGAGACAAAGGGAACTATCAGTGTGATTTGCAGAATGACGGATGGAGCAATGACTTGTGGGTAGAATTTGACACCACTAAGAGTGCAGTTTAACACGTTGTGTAGTGATGAGGTTATAATGTGAGGAGCACGTGCAGGGATATGAAACGAAGCAGAAAGAAATGAAACTGATTCCCTGTGGTTGGGCTGGGAAAACAGGTCAATAATGACAATGAGTTACGATGCAGGAACCCCCCCCCCCTAAGCTTGTAAAAGAAAAACATTAATAAATCCATTGACCTTTTGCCATATGGTGAGCAATGTCTGCCTGATGGTTCTTTGCTTGAAATTCTCCCAAACTTACAGTGTTTCCACACATGTATGTTTTTGGTGTGTATGTGTTTATTCCATTGTGTACATGGAGAACTTCAAACTGAACAGCATGCTATGCAGTAAGGTAAAATTTCACCAGTGGGAAGAGAACTGAGATATGCGGCTGTACAAGATGCTATATATACATATCATAACGCTGCATATTGATGAGATAATGGAAATGTGAATTCGCTTTGGGAATGTGAATACCTAATCTGACCAAGCACGAATTCACTAGACAATCTCCTTCCCGATGTGAGTTTTGTCTCAGTCTCCTTGAACAGTGGTGATTAGGGGTTTAGTAAATGCACTTAGGGGTGGTAGTATGAAAGAAACAGTAGCAGTTTATCCCCCACATGAGCTGATTAATTAATTTTGGATTTAGTTGTATTACTGGTCTCTGCCCAGCCTGATGTGGATCTTAGCTTTGCTACTCGCACCTCCTTCAGACGGCCAGGGATCCATCTGCCAGCTAGTTGGCCCTTTCTGCGCTAATTAGCTCATTTAAATACAACTCCTGCTCTGTAGGCTTCCACTTTATGCATTTTGATGGCCCAGTTGTAACAGGAGAAGCTTTAAATTTTGACCAGAGGAGGGAAACTGACATATGTGCATTCTTCCTGAGCTGTTGACTTTCACGCACTGCGAGTGAGACACACATAAGTGAGTCTTACACTTCACAGGCACACTTTGACACTGAGATTGAGACACACAAAAGTCAGTGTCACACTTTACAGCCGCACTTTCACGCTCTGAGAGTGAGACACACGAAGGTCAGCCTCGCACTTTACAATAGGAGTGGAAAAATAACCGATTGACATTGGGGCACCAGAATGAAAGCTCACTATGCCCTGATCAAAAACATGTGCACCAGATACAGTTTGGGATGAACTCGGGATGTATTGTTTCTAACATCCTTGCATTGGTAAAATCCGATTTATTAATGTAGAATAGTGAGTTTGGTTCATTTAAAAGAATTCTATTAAATATAATATGTTCATTTTCAAAATGATGAATATCTCACCATGTCATGGTGTGCGCTACGGTAAAGTTAATTAGCAGTGAGTTCTTCTCAGGCAAGTAAATATAACTAAGCCAGTAACTGGTTAAATATTACTTGTTACAGTTTTGTTGTTTTTGTTTTATGGAGCCTACATTGAACAGTTGAATGTGACTATTGTAAACCGCTGTGCACAAGAGCAAGCTCTCTGTGTCTGTGAAAGGAGAAGAATCACCAACTTGTTCTTATGTTTATAGGAAAGGGAGGAAGAATCTGTAATGCAGTGCAAAATTTGTTTGTTTGTCTTTTATTGTGCTATTTTTTTCTTTGAATAAAAACATTTTTTGTTTTAAGATTTAGGCCTACAAGCAAGTGTTTGGTTTTGTCTTGTTAAAAATATCATATTCACCTCCATACTGTATTCACCATCACTTACCTCTCCAATCATATTGCACTCCCCCCCCCCCAGGTCAGAATACCTGAAGTACGGCTGTCACCACGGTCACTGCTGCTGTGCCACGGTCACTGCTGCTGTCACCTCCCTTACCGTGCCACATCACACCACCAATATACCTAAACACAATGCGGAGTGCCGGGAGAGTCTGGGCCTGGCCTGCCCTGTCCACTGGGAAGCAGCACTTCATGGTTACATAAATATTTCATTAGTAGATAGGAGATGCCGTATGCCTTTATTATCTAGAAATGTGACCAATAATTTTATAATTTTTCCCCGTCTAAACTATTTCTCAAGCACACTCTCTCATCTCCAGTTCTTCACTGCTGTCAGTGGCCTATTCTCTGCAAGTCTCAGCCAAGTCTCACTTGATTCGAAGGCGTGTCTGGCAATGCATCGTATCGTATTGTGTCGAGTCATATTACATCGCAATAGGGGTGAATGGTATCATACCACAATAGTATTTACTTCATATACAGTATACCTTTACATGTGTTGGATCGCTGGCGATGCATTGAGATGTGTATCACACCGCCTCAGAGACCACTGCTTTACAGTCACTCTTCTTCATTTGTGGGCTGCATCATAGACTGTATCTTTGAGCAAATGCCATGTACAAGTACAGTTTGTCACAATCTGCACATCTGTATTTTTTTACCTGAAAACATAATTTCTAAAAGTTTCCTCTGTACTTCTCTCCTGTTATTTTGATGTTGTCTTTTCTGTCCCCACAAGAGGAAACTCGATTTTATAAAAATATGTAACTGCAATCAAAAAACTAAAATGACCAAAAGCCTTGTATTTTGTTTGGTTACTTATAGTTAATTAAGGTTAGGGCTGGGTAATGGTTAAGGTAGTCATGTGGGTGCGTATGTGCGTGTGTGTGTGTGTGTGTGTGTGCGCGCGTGTGTGTGTGTTTGTGTGTGTGAAACAAGGAGACAGAAGGATGGCACCTGACATTGCCCAGGGCAGGGCACAGCACTATTAACATGAACTGCTTATTATCTCGCCTTATGGCGTGTTCATTTATTCACATTCCACCTGTGGAGATGGGCTGGGGGGCTGGGGGGCGGGGTGGGTGGGTGGGGGGTGAAGGTCACACAACTGACAGATGAGGCAACCTGTTATGAAATACTCATGCTGTTCTTCTCACATTCCCTCATTTCTTACCAGTTCCATCCATCTATTTTCCAATCGCTTGTACTGTAATGACTCACAGGGGGCCTGAAACCTATCCCAGGCAGCATGGGGTACAAGACAGGGGTACACACACACACACACACACACACACGCATTTATATTCACATATTTGAGGGGACCGTCCCATTTGAGAAAATCCCTAATCCCAGCAATGACAATCTTAACTCCTACCCAAACCTTTCACTATTTTTAGGTCTTTAATTACAGGCACAGGTTTTTGTAAAATTGAGTTTCCCCACGGTGTAATATATACATAACCCCTTACCCCCCATACACACACACACCCACACACACACGGTATGGGCATTTTATAGATACCACTTCACCTCAGTGTATGACTTTGGGCTGCTGTGGGAAAATGGAGTTTCCTGTGGAGGAATTTTTGGGAGAGCGTGCAGGGAAGGTTGCGATCTAAGCCTCCATCCCTCTAGGCATGAGGTGACAGAACTACAGCATCCCTTTTTTACAATTCCTGAAGGAAAGTGTCTCGATTGACAGCTCCACAAAATCACAACATGTACCTTTTTCTTTGTTGCTACTATGTCAGGAGAATCATCCCAATGCAAAAACTGTCTTTCCACAACAAATGATATTTATCAGAGTGTGTCTCCATTAATCAGAGCTAATGGATTTGAAATCATACTTCACCTTGCTTGGCCAATAAAATTCAATAGACAGAGGATTGTTGCGTATGACATCTGTTTCCCCTCCGGTAAAAAAAAGGCCATAATGATTATGTATTTCACATTTGAAGTGTTTGACTTTGGCAGAAATTGTATGTTCTATTGCTTGGTATTTACATCATTCCCACTCCCACCTAACTCTCACCCACTTTTGTGTGCTGTCAAAAACCAAATCTGTTTTCTGTTCTGCACGTTACTGTAATATCCATTGTAATCTGTAATCAAGTTCTGCAACTTGATTACTTGGTATTGAAGACCAAATCAGACCGGTTGATAAAACATTACAGTGCTCAGATGAGCCTGCAGGGATTCACTTACACGGTAGCTCATAGTAGCTGTTTTTGCATGTTTATGAGTCTTTGTGTTCTGCAGGGGGCATTCTCTGATGCAAACTATGTGTTACTGTGTGTAAATTCACACACAAGCACAACCGGCACAGCGAGTTACTTAGAGTACAGATTTCCTCAGGTGGTGAGCATAAACCTAAATGGGGCCAAACCGAGCTTCCAACAAAAACTAAACTTTAAAAAATGCAGTTATATGAACTGTAACCAGGTCTGAACTCGGATGGCTTATCCTGATTTTTTATGGGCATTGTTAAAAAAGATACACACAATCACATAGTGTAACTGTGGGTCTCCTGATGTGACATATGCTTGTAAATTCTGCATTTCATGCTGGTGAAATGCTATTAGGAACTTAACGGCGGGTGTCTGCCTTAAAGAAACTGAATGAGGTGGAGGAGCCAGGCGTAGCCTCCCGTGTAAGATGGAGCCTGATCCTTGACTCGCGGTGATTAACTTCATTAAACTGCAAACAGTGAGGCTTCTGACCTGCCTTCCAGATTGGTGCTGACAGGCATCGTTCTCATTCACACTAATGTTTCATGGACTCTATTGCACCATCTGAAGGAGACTAATGATCTGTGTGGCTTATGTAGACATGTTAAATCAATGGTGTATGTTACAAAGACCTGCCTGCAGGCATCCAGAGAGGCCTTTGATTAGCAGTACTGCCTATTGCCGGCTCTGCTAAGGAAGCAGGTGCTGGTTTAACAGGGGGGCTATTTGAATACATAATGTCTCTCTGGAGACATATGGCTGTTGATAAAAGTAGCAGGCTCTTTCTGTGGAGTTTAGGCTTTGAGTAGCTTCATTAAACAGGTTAAATACATCACTTCCCTTATTCAACACCTGGATTCCATCAAACCTTCCAGTCAATAGTTATGCATCCTTTGCCATTAATAGAAGATTCAGTTCAGTACGTTGGGAAAAAAAAAAGATCAACTGGCTGATCTCTGTAATCCCTTTCCAATTTTGATTAAAATCTGTCTTTCTCTCCCTTTTTCTCTGTAGCCTGATGTATTCCAGGCGGTACTACTTTGAGGTTTTGCACAAGCAAGACGATAAGGGGTCTGACCACGTGGAGGTTGGGGTAAGTCGACCGGCTGAAAAATGAATAGCATCTTGTTCTGGTCCTCCTAGGTCCTTGGAGGGCTTCAGAAATAGTGCTCCTCTGATATATAAACATTACCTGAGCTTTTGACCTGAACAGAACTTACATGAATGGCAAGTGCAGTTCTGCAGAAATCACAGCATGTGCACATGGCGGCACTGAGCTCTTTGGTGGATGACCTTTCGGTCCCGACAGAATGGAATCAAACACCCGGTCTCGCTTTTAAGCTTGAGAACATTTCTTTTGAAAATACATGAATGGGTAAAGCCATATTTCTAAAAAAAAAAAAAATGTTCAGGGCTGCTTTTAATGATGTACCAGGAGTATCAATATGAAGCAGTGAACATTTGGGTAGATCCCACAGTTTTGGACTATGTTTCTCCCTATGCTTTGAAAAAGATTTCCTCTGATTTCTGTTTAAAAAGGCCCTAGTTTTGAGTGCTGTGAGTTGGTCGTGTCTCCATCAGTCCCGGCCCAGTAATCACTCAGCAAAGACTCTTGTCCTGCTGAAGTGCAAGCAGAATGAGAGACCGTTGTCTTCTCTTCTCTATGAGTTCCCTGATTATCCATCCCCATGCAATGACGAGATCAGTCCTAATAAAACAGGACATAAGACAGCTCCACTCTCTGAGTGCATTGTGTTATGAACAAGGAAGGCTGTATTTTCCTAGGATGGGGGTGATTTACGTTTGGAAAGGATTTCTGTGTCTGCATTTGTTATGTATTAGAGCTATAGTAGAAATCCTGAAAATGATATTTAGGTTCTTAATTATCTTGACTTTCTTATTGTAGATACATGGCAGCTACATTACAGAAACACTTCTGCCCCCTGCCCCCACAAATATGTGCAATGGACCATTCCATACATTATTACACTCCTATATAGGAATCCATATAGGAAGCCTTGATATTGTATCTGTGTATTGGGCTACTTCTCATAGATTTCATCTTCTCAACTGATCCTTCTGATTCTAAATCCTGTTGTTTATAACTGTTTGAGATTGTTATTAAGCTACCTTCTATACTTTCCTTTTTGTCTTTTGCTCCTGAGGCAAAATATGAAATGATAGAGGAAGTCATTTCAGCTTGTTTGTATGGAAATGCTGGTGATCTGCGGTGGGGGAAACGCATAAATCCTGGGCACAGTCTCCCTCACACACTGCTACACGGCCTGCCTTTGAATTACCGCCGGGATATAGTTAAATCTTTTCAGATAAAACTGATTTACCACAGCTTATTCACAAATAAATTAGCGAGACGCCATAATAAATCGGAGCAGACATCCATTTATCAGGAAAAAATGTTTTCCCACGCTGCCACATTAGCTCAGTGTCATCAAACTCCATACCTGGCCTTGTGTCTTATTACTCATTAATCTAGTTCAGGGAGCCTGATTATTAGGTAATTATCTGTTGTGGTTTATAGTGATTTGTGTCCCTCAAAATTTGAGGGTCAAATACAACAGTAAGTATGTGGAAGTCATTGAATGTGCCCCATTCCTAAAGAAATAGCCATGCTCTCAGTTGAGAGAGAGATCTACAAAGGCACTGCCTGCTGGAACGCCGGCTGTATTCAGACACGAAAGGGCATTCCTCCCGTCCTCCACTGATACCTTCTCCTCACTCTCATGGTGATTGAAGGCGTGGATCTCCCCTTGGCGAATGTGCATGTCAGTATGGGGTTGTGCAACATTTCATGCAGTAAATTAGCAGGTGACAGAAAAGAACAGGAAAATATGAAATTACACTCGACATGTTACTAGCTAATGGCTAATGCTGTTTTTTTCTTCCTCTGCTGATCTATAGGTCTTGTGTACGACATAAATTTATTATTGATTTATTAGTAATTATGCATGGATCACAGTTGCAGATCCCAGCAGATTGTGTAGTGTTGACCGGCACAGACGCTGTTCTACAGGGTGAAGTTAGTAGCTACTGTAGTTGTGCGGCACTAGGGCTCTGAATGTGGGGAAGGCAGTGTGCGGCAGCCAGAGCCTGGGATTACAGTGGGATGAGACTGAGGGGATCCCACATGCAGTGTAGCGTGAAGCTCAGCGGCGTCCATCTGAGGCCCCTTTGTGTGCTGTGTGGGGTGTTCTTAATGGCATCTTTGTGTTCCTCTCCCTATCCATCCGGCCTCTACTCTAATTCACGCTCTTCATACGTAACTACTTCTCGGCTTTTAATCTGTCAGAGATATCACTGTCTAGAGGCTCACTACAAAGCCGTTGCATGATAAGATCACATATACAGTGCCCTCCATAATGTTTGGGACAAAGACACATTTTTCCTTGATTTACCCCTCTGCTCATGTTTAAAATTTCAAATAAAACAATCCAGGAGTGATTGAAGTGCGCATTCTATATTTTAAGGATATTTGTATACATTTCAATTTCACAACGTAGAAATTATAACAGTTTTTATATATAGTGCCTTTCACATCATGGCAGCATAATGTTTGGGACATTTGGCTTCACAGTTGGTTGTGATTACTCAGGTGTGCTTCATTGCTTCATTAATGCAGGGGTAAGATACCTAGGCTTGCTTCTACCATTTGGAGTCTGTAGTCGCCATTGTTATGAGAAGAAGAGCTATGCCAATGAAAGTCAAAGAAGCTATTATGAAGTTAAAAAATAAGAAAAAGAATATTACAGACATGAGTCAATCCTTAGGATTACCAATATCAACTGTCTGGAATATTATTAAGAAGAAAGAATGCACTGGTGAGCTCCCTAAACACCCATCCAGCAGATCAGAAACAGTCTTCAGGAGGCAGTTGTGTCTTTGTCAGAGACGACTCCCTTCAGAAGACTTCATGAACAGAAAGACAGAGGCAACACTGCAAGATGTAAATCACTGCTTAGCCACAAAAACAGGACGGCCAGAGTATAATTTGTAAAATAATACTTAAAAGAGCCTGCAGAATTCTGGACAAAGGTCGTGTAAGCAGATGAGACCAAGATTCTTACCAAGAATTTGGGCTTTATTCTTGACAGTGGTTTTAAATTTGACAGACAGATTAGTGCTGTGGTCAAAACAAGTTTCTATCAACTCAGACAGTTGCCTGAAGTCAAGCCCTATCTCCCTCATAGGGATTTTGAGAGAGTAATCCATGCTTTTATTTCTTCTCAGCTCGACTACTGTAACTCCCTATATGCAGGCCTGGAGCACTCTGGTATTCGGAGACTACAGTTGGTCCAAAATGCGGCTGCTCAGCTCCTTACGGGGACAAGAAAGCATGAGCACGTTACCCCAGTTTTGTCCTCTTTCCACTGGCTTCCTGTATCTTTTAGAATTGATTTTAAGATTTTATTGCTTGTTTTTAAGGCAGTAAATGGGCTCGGCCCTTCTTTTAACTATCCACACCCCAGTTAGGTCTTCTAATCAGATGATTCTGGACGTTCCCAGGACAAGGCTCAAAAATAGAGGGGATCGGGCCTTTTCAGCTGTAGGCCCAATCCTGTGGAACTGCCTACCACAGAACATCAAATCTGTTTGAAGTTTAGAGACTTTCAAGTCCTTACTTAAAACCCACCTATTTTCTTTGGCTTTTGCTTCAAGTTGAGCCCAGACATCTCAGTGCAGCATTATTGTACCTTATTTTGTTTTATTTTTATCTTATTTTAGTGTCTTCAATTGTCTCTTGTTCCTTGTTTTATTACTGGCTGAACCTGTGAAGCACTTTGGTCAACTATAGTTGTTTTAAATGTACCATACAAATAAAGCTGAAGTTGAAGTTGAGGAATTAAAGTGTAGCAGAGTGATGGGTTGAGGAAAGTGTGGAGACAAAAAAGGAACTGCGCAAGGTCCAAAGCATACCAGCTCATCTGTTAGCCATGGTGGAGAGGGCGTTATGGCTGCGACCTTTATGGCTGCCACAGGTGCTGGCAAGGAGCAGCTGAAGGTGGCTGCATTAGAGACCTGGCAGGGCATCACCAGAGAAGATACTCAGCAGCCGGCGATGCTTATGAATCACACACTTCAAGCAGCTGTTGAGTGCAAGGAATATGCAACAAAGTACTAAATATGACTGCTTTAATATGCACACCATTGCTATGTCCCAAACATTATGGTGCCCTGAAATAGGGGCGCTGTGTATAAAAAGTGTTATAATTTCTACATGCTGAACCTGAAATGTATGCAAACAACTTTGTTAAAGTCTGGAATGTGCACTTTAATCTCATCTGAATTGTTCGATTTTAAATTTAAATGTTGGAGAAGAGGAGTACATCAAGGAAAAATGCACCTTTGTCCAAAACAATATGTAGGACACTGTGAAGCACATAGCAGTTACTTAGCCTGAAGAATGGCTTGCGATGAACACATTCTGTGGTTTCTGATATGTGCAGACACCAGGCATGGTTAGAAACATTCAGAAATAATAATTGCAATAGCAGTTATGCTAATGGTAGTATTTCCAATAGTTCACGCAACATACATGGAAGCCTGCAGCCATAGCCTAAAGTGCGGAGTGTGAAACCTCTTTGACTTATATCTTAAACAGCATCTCCAAGTGCATAACTTTACTCCTAGAACTGCTGCTGTTCGCTTTTTATCAGAAGATGTAAGATATCAGATTTTTTAGTTACACGCTAAATGCCATGTACAGGGTCTGCCTACATCTTAGAAGCTGAGATCAGTTTTTCTTTTCTTCTTTACAAAAATCCCTCTTTTCACAAGTCAGCCAGCTGTGTGTGCTTTTGTGCAAATATTTCAGCGGTGAGAACAGGCCGCGGTGTCCGTGTAACTGCGGCAAAGGTAAAGAGCCGGACAGCACTGTGTTCCAAAAAAAAAAGTTCATTATGAGCCAAGAAGGGCCATCTGCAAGAAAGCGGAATGGAAGAAGGAACGGTAAAGCCACGCAATCTGCCGCGAGTGGAACGGACCTAAACGAAATGTAATAAGCCAGCACAGACACATGAGAAAAATGCTTTTTCACAGTGGGCAAATGATCCAAGACAGAGTGGTGCCCCTCCCCCCACCAACTCGCACCTAATATCATCAGTAAGTCAAACAAAAGAAGGCAATGTCCTCTAAAAAAGGGAATGCTACGCAGCCATCAACAATCATGACAGTTTGTGTATTTCATGCAGGAACTGTATCAGTTCATGATTTGTTCTTGAGTAGTAACTGAATAGTAACAAAGTTATTTGAGCCCCCTCAAGTAAAATGTTACCACCAGCTGTGATAACTACACAGTCCTTCTCACCCCTGAAAGCAGAGACGATTTTCCTAAATCTTTTACTGCTTGCCCATTTTCGGTAAAGCAGAGCTTGTAAATAGATGCTATTATTAGTAATGAATGAAGAGCAAAAGAAGATGCCTTTACCATCTGTAAAGCATCAACCACCTGACTGTATGTGCATGAACAGAGCAGATCTCTTCTGCCTCCAGCCATTATTGTGGAAAATGACTTGTATTCCTTGACCTGCAGTTAGGATGATGGGAAGTGATACAGGCTATTGTATTCCCAGATTATTATTGGTAGAAATGTGGCCTGCATACTGCATTACCCTACGTGTGTAATTGAAATAGTTTCCTACGAATAACTGTCTTTTAGAAGCCAAGGAGAAAAATATGCCTGGAGATTCAAAAGACGCGTTTTCTTATTGTGGCAGCAAGAAAGCAAACAGGCGATGAGGGGGCAGCAGAATACCCCTGCGGGGGTGTGATCTGTGTAAGGAGTATGGGGAGATATGCAAAGGTGGTAGAGATGAGAGGGCAGTGGTCACTAGCTCACGGGCAAGTACCTCTCCCCCAAGCAAGCTGGTATTGCTTCTCCCTGACCTTCTCAAAACAGTCCCACCACCTGTTTGGGGCAATTAGCGGCCGCAAGCCCCGGCCTTCACATTTGTCAGGGGTGGTTTTGGGGCCGATGTGGTGCTGATGGGAGGCTGTTTGTGGGTGGTGGCTTCATGGTGGGTCATCATGCTACTCGGTGTGTGAAGCTCGCTTTGTTGATGCTGAAAATGTGAAACCTTGAAGTTTAATGTTTTGATGCCAATACTTTAGCAGTATCAGTGCCAGTGTATGAGCTTTTAGCGGTATCAGTGCCAGTGTATGAGCTTTGTTAGTACACTTATCAGTATTAATGTTCAAGACGCGTGCTTTTCAGCTCAGGAGCTGCTCCATCCCCTGTTCTCTTCCCTCTTTTAGTGGCGTCCCTTTCTGCCCGGACTGAAGTATGAGGTTATTGACTCTGCCTATATCTCCCTTTACACAGGTAATCTTTTTTGTAATTTTCTGCCATTTTGATTTGTGACTTTACATGCATGGGAAATTGCAAAAGATAAACTAAAAATAATAATTTCTCCATATTTTACAGTAAGCTGGATGTTCTTCGGTGACCTTTGTAGTTTGATATCACTCTGCTGCTCCAGGTCCCTTCAAATAAAAATGACTTACCAAACAAAGTAAACATTTATGGTACTTTCCAAGCTACCAATATTCATTTTTATGTAATTCTCTGGTGTGAACACACTGTGCTTTGAGGACTGACCACAATTCAGTGACTTAATAGAACTTCTAGCACACTATAATAAAGGAGAGAGGAGAGTGATGTTTGATATTTGCTGCCTTTAATGGCCTCTGCACCCATAGAGTTATATACACAGTTTCTGTCGCTGAGCCTCGACTTTTTGATAGCAAATCATGTCTCCCTGCAATACACTGTGACTCTTTGCCTTCAAAATGAATTTTTATTACACAAAGACATATTACATATTTGATAAAACAGATGATGTATTTTCTGAAATGTTCTATTGCCTTTCTGCCTTAAGTCTGAGCTGAGGCAGTATAGACTTGCTTCTGAACAAGCTGGATATGGGATGTAAGGACTAGAATGCTTAAATAAAAGGGGTTAATTTATCCTCTGTAACGATTCTTGGTGATTCTACCAAATTCTTTTAAACAACCACCAAATAACTTATTCTGTCTTTTTTATTTACACCAACGATACCAGGCTCTCCAGCTCTGTCTGAGGCAGAGTGATTTAGTCTTTTTATTCATTGAGAAAAGCCCTGCTGTCAAATTCCCCCTAATGCCTTATAGATCACGCCTGAAAACCCAGGCTAGAGATGGGCAGGATTAAATGTACCGAGTTTTCATCAGCGGCCCGGGTGCATCCATTCAAAGGATGAGTATGATCTTCATGATCCTTCTCAGCCCCCCCCCCTCCCCCCGAATGACATGGTCCGCTTTATCTCGCTACTTTCAAGCTCAGGAAAGGACTCAGTGAAAGGTGTCAGCGTTTCTTCACCTTCTTCTCCTTACCTACTATTTCACCATTTTTATGCGCTGTGTGTGAATGCTCATATTTGATGATGGTTTTGTTGTAAATTTTCTTCCTGTCTCCACCTACTACAGTATATTTAATAATATTTTGGCAGTCATATTCTCAAGGAACTCTCTTTTTTAAACATTTAGGTATAAAAATTTAAGCAGAAGAAAGTTGTCCTCTAATTACTGTAGCTGCAGGGTGTGCTGGCATGAAATTGGCATAATAGCAATTGAAGGCGATATTAAGGCCTAAGTGCATATTATTATTATGCAATGTTCTGCACTGTGTCTTCCTGTCAGACGAGTCCAGCCTGAAGATGAACAGTGTGGCTCACATCCCACAGACCCTGGCCAGCCACAGCCGCATGCCACGGGCGTCCCGTGCAACCGGTCGCCATGGCGCTGACATGCTGAAACCTGACCCCAGGGACACCTTCTTCAGCAGTGAGTAACTCCTTCTCCCTCCCACGGTGCATCCCTTTCATCCGGAGTTGCAGCATGGCGGCGCGGTGGCAGCAGATTACATGTATATCACACTGTGACAGTGCTGACTTTAATCACATCGAGGGTGAGTGGGTGTGAGGTGACAAAAACCTGTGGTGGGCATAGATGTGGTAGCAAGTTAATCGCTGTATGGAGGGTCGTGGGGGGGGTGGTTATGAATTATTGAAATCCTTGGGGCAGAAGTACTGCTGGCTGGACAATTTTCCTGTAAGCTTATACCACTGTCGAGGCATGAAAGAAGAAAGAAATTGTCTCGGAAAGAACAGCATTGGGAGGTCAACACTGCTGGGCACCCAAGATATGCTGGGTGAAGCTACTAATGAGCATGTAGAACTGGTTAAGGTTAATAACTAGTCAGCTTTATAACAGGACTTGGTGAATCTGGTTTCTGTGTACATACTCAGTATGTACATCAGTACATACTCTTCAGCTAAACATCAGTACATACTCTTCAGCTAAACTGCATTAATAAAGTGCCTGGTACCTGAATTTAATTATTCATTTGGTATTGTGTTGCAGTGTTGGTCACTATAATCGACTGGTGTCTGATATGGTGGATAATATCTGTTTTTTGCTTACATTATGACTCTTCAGAGACAAAATATGAATTGTTAAGTGCTGTGTGAACAGGGCCGTAATGTGCTAAAAAGCAGTGCAGTGCTGTTTTTTGTCCTCCTTGACCACATTGCTTGATCATGTCTTCATCTCGCGCACACTGTCACCCCGCAGCTCCCATGATCGAAGTGGCACGCCTCAAGGACGTGCTGCCCACCTGCGCCTACTCCCCCTCCTATGTGTTGAAGGATTTCCCTATCGCACGCTACCAGGGCCTGCAGTTTGTGAGTCACGTCATGCTAACTGTCAGTCTTACTCTGTGTGTGTGTGTGTGTGTGTGTGTGTGTGCATTGCACACTCTGTGAGGAAATATTATCTCACGGATGCTCCTACTAAGTCTAAAATCACAGTATTTTTATTACTTTTTTGCCTCATAGATCTTACATAATTATACACTGCCACAGAATACCTTAAAAAAATCATAATCCATCAGTATTGGCTCATGACATGTGGTGAGAAGTTCCTTAACCAGAAGCTTCAAACCGTTTATAGTAGTGATTCTCTCAATGGAAGCAAATCCTTCACTGTCAAGCAAGAAAATGCCCTGTTTATGGAATTAATGCTGTCTAATTGCATTTATCACAGTGCTTGAGGAATGCTCATTAGCTTTAACAATTACCAAGCCACACATGTGAATTAAAAAAAAAGATGATAATCCCTGAAATTACTTTTTTTGTCCTTACAATTTCTCAATACTTCTGCTCATGGCAATGTCTGAATTGGGGGGCTGCTGCCATCTATTGATCAGTCCCTGACAATGCACCAACAAAAAATATATATATATTTTTTTAAAATGCATTACCATCTCTTCATTAAGTTAAATCGATAGTAGCCTAATGTAATGGGACTATACAATAATGATTTGTTGTTTCTCTAGGTGTACCTTTCATTCGTCTATCCTAATGACTTCACACGACTTACCCACATGGAGAAAGAGAACAAGTGCTTCTACAGAGAATCGCCCATATACCTGGAGAAGTAAGCAGTGTGCTATAAGGAAGTCATGTCAATATAAACTGCAATTAAGAAATGAAAAATGCTGCCATGTTTACTCTATGAAGTTGTATTGTTCATTGGTGATGCACAGCAGCAGAACTTCTGAATCACAAACACATCCCCACCGCCATTTTCCAAAGGAGTTTTAGATTTATATTGTTTATATTGTAAATTGTCAGTGTTTTCTTTTTGTCCACATTAACAGGTTTGGCTTTTACAAATACATGAAGATGGATGAGGAAGAAGACGACAGGCCGTACTTCTTCGCTAACACAGATGGTGTGTATTCTTGGTTCAGGGAGAGTAGGCAAGACAGGAAGGACCTGATCGCCGAAGTGCCAAAACCAAGGCGGTATTATTACAGCTGTGCTCTCGCTCCATCTGCTTTAAACCATTTGTGCATGCTTTCTGGGATATTAGAGGACTAGGCAGTAATTAAAGAGAGTAAGTGCCAGCTGCCTGCCACTTGTGTGCCTTTATTCTTTCTTTATTTTTCAGAATTTCTGGAGGAGGAGCAAGGAGCTGCTTCGGAGGATGAGCCCACAGTAGGAGACACAAAGCCACTAAGGGTGGGGGAGCAGGGCGGCCCCATTAACCCTAAGGCCTCCGTGGGAACTGCGTTCCCGTCCGCAGCCAGCAGGCTGGGCAGAGCGAGACCTGTGCCCGACCAATGGGGCCGGCATTCCTCTGAGCATGAGCTGGATGGAAAAAGGAGTGGCAGCATAGCGCCTGCAGAGCCACAGGGCCCTGTGAGCAGGGAGCAGCCAGAGCACGGCCAGGAACCTGCGTTCAGCACGGCTGTGGCAGTACGAGGCCGCACCCTTTCCTGGTCCCGAACGGGCTCTGGGGAGCTGAGCCGAAGAGGTGGCACAGAAGCTTTGTCCAAGCTCAACAAGTCAGCTCGGTTTTTCTACCACAGGAGTCCACTCCCAGCCTTGGCCGGCAAGGCCAAGGAGACACTCTTATCTGCTAATGCAGGCCGGAGCATGTCCGCTAGTCCGAGAGCAAACGGCACACGCTTTGCTACAAAGAGTAAAGAGGACCATATTTACGTCACCCGGCCTCGGCCGTCCAATAGCAGAAGGGGTCTTATCCACCAACACGCAAGGGAGATCTTCCCCGGACTCTTCCTGTATCAGAATGGCAAGACCACCAAGCTGGTCAATTTGAGAACCAGACCTAAAAGAGAAAGAGGTGCAGCCCGAGGCCCCAAGCTGTGGCCCAGATCCTCTCAGAGGAACAGCAAGACCTCTTTATTGGGTGGAAATTTTAGCCACACAGTCACCCATAAGATATCTAACAAGGTAACTTCAACAAGGCACCACCAGAGGAGGATAGAGAATCGCCAGGCAGAAAGAGAGGAAGCTCCAGCCTCCACTATTAACACTAGAAACATTACCTCCATCTTGCTTGATGGGGAAACTTCTACAATTACTCCAACAAGCCCCAAAACCCTTAGCCTCAATTCCTCTGTGGACACCCTTCCCACAGTAGACAGCATTATTGTCTCAACAAAGACCTCAGAAATTGAGTCCCAGGAGCAGCTTGGTCCTGAGCCAGGGGAGGGTCCAGAAGAAGGGGGCCTGTCCGAGTACAGCTACGAAGAGGCTGAAGCCCGGCCCAATTGGCCAGAGGAGGCCATCAACTGGCAGCGCACGTTTTCCGTCAACACCATGGACTTTGAGGTACTACGCTCTGACTGGAACGACTTGCGCTGCAACGTGTCCGGCAACCTGCAGCTGGGAGAGGGCGAGGTGGTGGACGTGCTGGCCCAGTACATAGAGAAGCTCAATGAGCAGAATGGCAGGTGAGGCAGCTGGCTTGTGGTGTTGACAAGGTGTTTGAAAATGGAGTTAACCAGACCAACGTCAAACTGTGGTTGAATGTAATGAGCTAAAAGCTAATTGCTAGTTTGCTTGTCATGAGTTGGTAAGAATATCTTGTCTCACAAACAGGATCTACACATTGCTTAGAATCATCAATGTAGAAAAGAGACGCGACTCAGCCCGGGGGAACCGTTACCTGGTGGAGCTGGAGCTGATGGAGCGTGGTAAGAAGGTGGTGCGGCTCTCCGAGTACATCTACCTTCTGCAGCATCCCGGCCACCCTGAGGATGGCCAGGATAACAGCGAGGGCACCGGCACCTCAGCCCATGGCCTCTCCAATGCCACAGGACAGGAAGGGCCCCTTCCTAGTGTCCAGGGTGCCCCATCTCACGTTACCCCTCTAGCAAGCACGGCCTACGTCAAGCCCCTGCTGTGCCAGCCGGACACGTTGAAGTGGAGGCATGATGTCATGGTCCATTTTGTGGTGCCAGGTGTGTAGATAACCCTCTGGGGTCAACGGCATCGTCGGCGATGCCGTGTATCTTTCTTGTATATTTCAGTTCATAACTCGCTGAAATCTTATTGTAGAAACATGAAAAAATGAATCCATAAATCCATAATCTGTCTTCTTTTCAAAACGTCCATTGTCGGAAGTATTAAAGTTTTTAAAATTAGGTTAAATCGGCAAAAAAGTAAACCATGTCACCTTACTTTGTTTTACCTGCATCGGGGGCGTGTAGTACTGCTCTCACCTGAAGATCGCTATTCGTATACTAAATAGCCGCTTATATACCGCGTATTCAAATCGCATTCGCATGGTAATTTGATGAACAACTCAACGGTGAAACGCGATCCAGATACATCCCCATCAGCACCATAAAAGGGGGGGAGGGATGTGGCCAGGTGTGAATAGCTCATGCATACACATGAAATACATATTCAATGAAAGGAGCCAGAAATAGTGACTTGAGTTAGGTTTTTCTTATTTTTTTATCCAACTGAATGTTGCAACTATACCATTTAGTCATCTTCATGTACCCAAGACTTTGGTGACCAGATATCTGGGATCAAAACAAACTTCCACCATTGCTTATTATGTACTTTTATAATATTTCTGCAAGTGTGAAAGTGTGTTCCCTACTCCTAGACCCCAGAGGGTGAATACCGTAGCAAAAAGTCTTGGTAGATGCTGTGTTTACAAGGAACTTCACAACTTTCATTGGAACTTTAGAAAGGTACTCCAGCAGTTCCCTATGTGATATCTTTAATGAAACAGGCCAGGTACATTACAGTACCTGGACCTCCTTGAATGTTTAATTGAGCACTATTCTATTACTTCTTTGCTTGAGACTGTCTTTCTAGGGCTAGATAAGTTATGGTAGTCCTATGGTAACACCCAGCATTATTGTCTTCATTTGCCATTGATTTATCAGATGCTTTAATTCAAAATGACATGCAGTTGAGAAAGCAGGTTCAGCCAGTTCCTGGAACGATTGGGGTTTATGGGTTTTGCTCAGGGGCCCAACAGTAAAATCAATTCGCTGACCATGGGACAGTGACCTGAACTGACATGAACCAGTAACCTACTTACCAGAGTCTTGACCTACAGCCCCAATATCATCTTGTTTCCCTCTCTCTGTAGTAAAGAACCAGGCACGCTGGGTGCAGCAGTTCATCTCTGACATGGAGTTCTTGTACCATGAGACCAAGGATGACAACTTCAGCATCATTATAGTTGACTTCCAAAGTGATGACATGGACGTGGAGCAGGCACTCAAGGACAGCACGGTGCCCAGGTGAATCCTGCCAGACGTTAATTACTATAATTGTGGTGAATGAGATAATGACCGAGAAATCAAATGAGATTTTTTTTCCTCTTTATTTGCAGGAGTTTATAGGTAGATGCTATTATTTGTAGGCATCATTCATGTGATTAAAATGAATGAGCAAAGGGACTGTTTGTGTGCTTTTGGCAGATATGAATATTTGAGACGTGAGGGGAATTTCGAGCGGTCTGCAGGCTTGCAAGTTGGAGTGGATTCTGTCAAGGTGAGAGTCATCAAGAAAGCCTGGCTTCCTAGGGGAATGTTTTTACTGAGTAAAATTAGCACTAATTTATGATGCTTGCTCTTCCTAATCCTTTTTCCCTCTTTGTCTGGGGAACAGGGAAACTGTATAATTTATGGAAACAAGCCATGAAGCATCATATGTATTTCTAGTTTGGGTAACGGTTTACATTAACTGCACCTTGATGATGCCTTTATAATACATTCGGAGAACATTCAGTGCCCCTTCTTAATGTATTTAAAATACATTCATAGAACATTCATAAGCAGCATGTAAGTACAGTAAATACACCTTAACATCCTAACAGACACTATATGGACCAAAGTACAGTGGTACCTCGGTTCTCGAACTTAATCCGTTCCGGACTCCGGATCGAATCCTAAAAAGTTCGAGTTCTGATCGAATTTTTCCCATAAGAAATAATGGAAAACCAATTAATTGGTTCCCGGCCCCCCAAAATTACACCTAAATATGTTTTTTTTTTTTTTAGCATTTAAACACAAAATGAACAGGATAAAACAAGAAGAGCATTTTTTTCTTAAACGATAAAGATCTTATCCCAACATTACCCCTGTCCTGCCCCGATCGTCCGCTCCTTCCGTGTGCCACGCCCCCTCCTTAACCTCGTGTGGGATCCCCATGTGATCAGCTGTTTCTTGTTGTCATTAGTCCTCTATTAAGTCTGCCTTTCGGTTTGTTTCCCCAGTCCGGTCATTGCGACGCAGCATTAGAAACATGACTGTTTAAAACTTTAAAAAGAGCACGGAATATGACCATATATCACTGAGAGTTGAAGGGCATGATCAAAAAGGGGAAGTCCAGTTTTCGACTTGCTTACAGGGCTGGCTTAAAGCAACGCATTCTGATCCTGACGCAATGCATTACGGTTAGATGCATTGCGACATCTCACCCAGCTGCACAAACTGGAACCGCCTCCGTGATGACACACCTTTGCCCATATTGGCTGAAGAGTTTAGTTACACGCATGACGTTTGTATCCCAGGCCGTTCCGATGCATAATCTGCTATTTCTCCCGAATATCACGTAAAGCAGTGAGAACTGGTTTTCAGTTAATTTACCTGGTAAAATAAAGTTTAAATAAATGACATAAATGCTCTAATAGTACACGTAAGTTAGTGGTTTATTTATTGTTAGTTACTGTAATGTTGCGCTGCTTTATTTGGTTAATCATCCAGCCTGTGAAGAAGGCATTCAAGTAAGAATTGCGTTGTAGTATGACTAGCTCTGGAATACACCTCTTGGTGCTACTTGGACACATCATCAACTCATTTCCTGGCACGTACAACTTATATTAGGTCGGCGTTCACGGTTCAACTTCTGATATTCAGATCGAGTTCTAGGTCAAACTGGTTTGTTCGACTTTCAAGAAATTCAAGTTCTAGTTAGTTCGAGAACCGAGGTACCACTGTATTGGGACACACCTCTTAATCATTGAATTCAAGTGTTTCATTCAGACCCGTTGCCAGAGTTGTATGAAATCAAGCACCTAGTCTTGCAGTCAAGTGTACCAACATTTGTGAAAGAATGGGTCACTCTGAGGAGCTCCATGAATTTAAGTGTGGTACTGTCTTATGATTCTTAGTCAGTTTGTGAAATTTCTTCCCTGCTAGATATTTCGCAGTCAACTGTAAGTGGTATTATTGTGAAGTGGAAGCATCTAGGAACAACAGAAACTCAGCCACAAAGTGGCAGACCACGTAAAGTAACAGCACTTTTGGGAAGTCTTTGGGAAGGCCCTTTTCTGTTCTAGCATGAATGCGCCCCAGCGCACAAAGCAAGATCCATAAAGACATGGTTGGGGGAGTTTGGTGTAGAAGAACTTGACTGGCCCACACAGAGACCTGACCACAACCCCATCAAACACCTTTGGGATGAACTAGAATAGAGACTGCAAGCCAAGCCTTCACTTACAACATCAGTGCTTGACCTCACAAAAGCTCTTCTGGGTGAATGGGCAAAAATTTCCCACAGACAGACTCCAAAATTCTGTGGAAAGCCTTCTGAGAAGTGTGGCAGCTGTTATAGCTGCGAAGGGGCCACCAGCTCCATATTGATGCCTATGGATTTAGAATGGCATGTCATAAAAAGTTTATGTAGGTGTAATGGTCAGGTGTCCCAGTATATTTGTCCATATAGTTTACTTTACCAGCTTTAATATACATTAATAACAAACATTATACAATTGCAATGTTCATTATTATCATATAGTTTTTTTGGTCCCTACTAGGATAACCTCAATTTTATAAAAATCTGTGATTGCAATTAGAAAACTAAAAATGCCAAAGTCTTGTATTTTGTTTGGTTATTTATGGTCAAGGTTAGTCCTGTGTAGTGGTTAAGGATGTTTGTGTGAGGGTGTGTGTGTGTGTGTGTGTGTGTGTGTGTGTGTCCGTATGTGAAAACTACTTACAAGGTACAGAAAATGCATAGTGGTCCAGTGGTTAGCACTATTGTGTCACACCTCTAATGATGGGGTTCCAGTTCCATCCCTGGCTTTGGGGTGTGGACTTCACAGGTTTTAAAACTAGCAGGTAGGATGAATTAGTGGCCCATAGTATGTGATTATGTCTGTGCCTTATCATAAGTTTGCCTTCCATCCAGGGTGTTCCTGGGATATGCTTGAGGCTTCCAGTGACTCTTTAAGTAGTCATGGAAAATAGATTAATAGAAACTTCCAAATTAAAATGATTCACTTTTTTGTGGATGTACTCCTTCCAACCTGACACATTCGATTGCATCAAGTGAGGTGAGCTGAAACTCCATAATTCATGATCACAGCCTATGGATACATTCACCTCAAACAGTACCTATAATAAAAACTTAAAAGGTATCATTTGCAAATACTGAGTGTATACTCTGTGTTGTGTGCCTCTTTGTGCTTCTCAGGATAGTCACAGTATTGTCTTCTTGTGTGACCTGCACATCCATTTCCCCCTGAACATACTGGAGAGCATAAGGAAGCATTGCATCGAGGGCCTGCTGGCTTTTGCGCCCATCGTCATGAGACTGGCCTGTGGCAGCTCCCCCCAGGAGCCTGATGGTAATAAACTTAGAGACACACACACTCCCTCATAGCATGGCCTCACGTGACAGGAACTGGCAGGGCACACAGTTGAGACTTAACAGAACAGCACTTATAAGGACTCACACACCCACACAGTTTCACAGGGATCCACGTTCTCACGGTCCTTCATGAAGCACCCTTTATGACTTGATTGTGATTCACTAGCCATCCACTCTCACACTGCTCTTTCTGCCTGCCACTGGCAGTTAATTATTCCAAAGCCAATGGCTCCAGTGTCTTTAAGAGCATTATCTCGAGTGAGAACATTATCGGGTCCAGTGACTTTTGACAGGAAATTAATTGCTTGTGTTTTGTTCTGTTTTGTTTTTTCCTTCTTTACTCAATGTGCTCCCTAGGGTACTGGGAAGTAAATGGCTTTGGCTTGTTCGGCATTTACAAGTCAGACTTTGACAAAATTGGGGGAATGAACACAGAAGAGTTTAAAGACAGGTGGGGAGGAGAGGATTGGGAGCTGCTTGACAGGTATGTCATCTTCAACGAACCAAAACCTCATTGAATTTGGGTCACTACAGTGCATGTGCTTCCATTTACTGGCATGTTTTTTGTCACATGAGATTTCTTACAGTATATTCTGCAGATGCACTGAAATTCTGTCTATTGCATATATATCACTTACAAATTCACTGTATTAGAGATCCATTCTGGACCAATGCAACAAGAGGGCTCAAACATCCAACATCCAGGTTACAATTCCGATTGCTTAGCACTACCACCTGCTACCCCAGTGCACCACCTGCTCTGCCCAGGGACAATACATCCATTCATCTGTGCTCCAATGCCTCACAGGGTTCTGCAGAATGGCCTGGAAGTGGAACGTCTTAGACTGCGGAACTTCTTCCACTACTACCATTCCAAACGGGGGATGTGGAACACTGAGACACAGAAGAAGAGCCCCAAAGGCTAGCTTCCTGTGAAGCAACAAACAAAGGTTTCTCCATGAAAGAAGAAAATTTAGTTTTCTTTCTTGACACAGCCCATCTGAGAGGGCTTTTCTGGAGTCAGTGGGAGCTGGACAAGCTGTATCTCCCCTGTGGCCTGAGTTCTAGTCTCAGCTGCAGCACTTTCGCTGACAAACTCCAAGGAAACATGTTAGAGGCAAGAAGTTTCACAAAGAATCTTATTATTATTACTATGATTTTATTATTCTTAATGTTGCTCCAAAACTAATAGCCTTATCAGAGTAATTCATTTTAGATTAAGCAATTGGACCAATTTATTCGCAAAATTCTTACTTTATTCATGGATACACAGACAAGGAAATATAAATGTTTTGGTTGGAGGTTATTGTGGGGGTGTAACAGATATCGAGAAGCTTTTCATTGTTGTAAAATTTGTATCTATGATAAGAGGGAAATGGTGAGGGAAAAATACACAGTGTAGCTATTGGAATACACTGGTGTGTGTTAGCTGGTATATGTGCTTGTCAATGTTTTGTTTATGGGCTCCATGTGTCCATGTGTCTACTAAGGCCTAATACCTAACATGTCCATGGGAACCTCCACAAATTAGCGCTGTGCTGCAAGTTTACCCTAAATTAGTGGGTACAGGAGGTCACTAATTTTAGAGTGTGTGGCACAGTTTGCAAGGTGAATGGGCTTCATTATGTCCTCCTTTGTCCATGTACTCTGAAGAGAAATACCAAACTATCACAAAAACCAGTACAGGAAATTATTGGCAAGGATTTTTTTTAAGGAAATCCAGACTTGAAACTGGTTGAACATTGCTGTTAAACTCAAATGAATCAATTTTATGATCATATCTATGCTTCATTCTCATATGTACAAATGTTTGCTTTGTGATTTAATATTTATTTTCTGAATTGTTTGTCCCAAATCGAAATCGTGCAGCTACACCAAAACAGTGAAGCTGTCCCTTACCTTTTAAAGGAGAGATGCATTATCTTTGCTCGGCAAACGTGAGAAGGCCAATTCATGCTTTTGTGCCTTTGTTGGGCTGAGTTTACAGGGTGACAAATGTGAAAAAAAATATCACAGCACAGGAATGTGTGCAATAGCCAGTAGTAATCAATGGTTCTGAACCCTGAGGAGTTCAAAGAAGTTTGTTTAAAGGTACATTTTTGGAATGAGCTATACAGTATATATATGAGTGCAACATATGTAAGTATTGAATTATGCTTACCTCAGCACTACCAAGGGATTCACGGACCAAAAGAATGATACATTTAAACAATGAAAGGCTCGTTTGACCATATATCACTGAGAGTTGAAGGGCATGATCAAAAAAGGGAAGTCCAGTTTTCAAGAGCCATGATATCTGGACATTTTTGAGTTACTTAAAGGTCAGGGGTTGATGGTTTATACAAGGAGATCCAGGTAAGCCTAGTTTCTTCAGGTAGAAATGCTGATATGAGTTATGGAGGAAAGGAGCACGTCATGTGGCTGTTAACATGGAGTTTCCCATAGTATCTGGATATCTGTTGAGAAGGTGAGGGATCCTATGTCTAACTGTATGTTTCACTTGAAAGTATAATTGTTTGATACATATTGTAAATGTTATTTACTGTGACTTGGACTTAAATAGATACAAAAATGATCATGGTTTGGTATGAATATGTATATGGATTCGGTAGCTGTTTTACGTGCTTAGTGAGACCCGTTACATCTGTACAAGTATCTAAAACTTAAATTACTGACTGAGATTGTCAAAACCATCGTCTTCCCCAAGTCAAAAAAATGAAACTTTTTAGCCTCTTTAAAACTGATTATATATAGGGAAAACAGGATTTGATGTACAGTACATTTCAAGGATAATTTCTGTGAAATTGTGTAGAACTTTATTAATGTACTGTATTTGGTTATTTTTTTTCAGTTCTCTCTTTTTAAAATAAAACTGAAGTTAATCCTCAGATCACATTTGTGTTTTTGAAAAGTCATAGCACACAGCTACTAAAAACGTAATCGTTAAAACTTTCACTCCAAACTAAAAATCTGAAAAGTGTTGATTTTATGTAAATACAATATGGTTTCATTCATACACATCTACAATAAAATACGCTACAACTATAATAAAACTACAAATTTTTTAGAAATGTCTGGTTTTAATATATGTCTTCTATAGGATATAGTCTAGGAGTAGAATACAGTACTCTTCGTCATGTTTCGCTGTCGTCTTTTTACACGGCAACTTCACGTACAGATTATTTTTCGATTATTTTTCGCTGCCTTCATTTTGCAACTGCCTATCATGAAAATGATCGACACGTCAAACTTTCAACACAGTGTTAATCAAATGCATGACACTGAAGAAAATGAAAACAAGGAAACGCTTATTGCGCCGCCCTATAACTTATCCTATTGGCTCCCTTTCAAAGGTTCCGTTTTCTGACTGGTTGTACGAAGTTTTGCGCAATCCTGCGAACCTTTCCACTCTGGGTAGGAGTTAAAAGGAGGTTGACCGCTCATTCTTATATAACGAAAGAATGTTGTAGAGATGTGATATTTCAAACGATACTGAACGCTTAATACTTACTAAGGATTATTTTTGGATCCTGTCGGTAGAGAATCTCATTTCTGACGTCTGACGTATGAAAACTATTTAGTGGATGAAAGCGGACGTAAGAGTGAGAGCCAGGCTCTTAAGAATATTCACTGTATTTTTAGGTACGGTGCGAGTTCTTTTAAAGGAGGGGTAATAGCAATACAATGTAATTGTCATTCAGATAGTTTCTGTTGGATGATGTTTGCTGGTCACAACTATATATTATACCCGAAGGACAAAACGGCGTCCTAACAGGAGAAGGTTTATATTTGGACGTCTTTGGACACTTGACAAGAGAGCCGAAACTTGGGAGTCGGTCATGGCAGGGGGAAGTTTGAATATGAAGACACTGGAAGACCTGACTCTGGATTCCGGCTACGGGGCAGGGGACTCCTACAAGTCCCTGAGCCTCTCCTCCTCCTCCAAGTACAACTCTCAGGCTTTGGCGAGCGCTCCGCAGCGAAGCAACTGGTGGTACAACTCGGGCTCCATGAACAGCAGGAACGGCAGCTGGGACACGGTGAACACCCCGTTGCCCGAAGACGCAGAAGACATTTTCTCCAAGTGTCCCCGCTTGCCTGACCTGGAGGAGTTCCCCTGGACGGACGAAGAAGTGGGCAGGATCCTGAAGAAGGTGGCCGGCAACTGCTCGTCGTTCTCCGCGGAGTCCGTGCGCAGACTGTCCTCTCTCTTACGGAGGGCACTCATACGGATAGCGAGGGAAGCCCAGCGCCTCAGCGTTATACACTGTCGGTGCACACGCTTCGAAATGCACAGCGCTATCCGGCTGATACTCAGTTGGGAGTTGTCCAAAGCCTGCATCGCGGCCACTGTCAAAGCCATCTCCCTCTACAGCATGAGCGCCGACGACTGGCTGAGGAGGGGCAAGTCCGCCCGCTGCGGACTGCAATTCTCTGTGGGACGCTTTTATCGCTGGATGGTGGACACACGCATATCGGTGCGCATCCATGAGCACGGAGCCATATGCCTGGCTGCCTGCATGGAGAACCTGGTCGAAGAGGTGGCTGTGCGGGTGCTGATGGCCGAGCACCAGAAGAGCACGGACTGCGGGCTGCCCAGCATCTCGGTGACAGCCAAGGCGCTGGAGGGCGTCGTGAGAAACGACCCTGAACTTTGGGGTGTCCTGCAAAACTACGAGCATCTCGTATGTGGGAAGAGCGCCAGTGGTAAGTGATCACGTAATAACAGATAACATGTTGTAGGTATGCGAAACTTTATTCCTGGTGGGTTTGTTTTTTGGCAGTACAGTCAAAACATTCAGGTGCATTTCTCGTTATACTGATTATAAGGAGGCGATCGCTTACTGAAAATCCCGTCAAGGCGCACTCCCAGTTGTTAAAAACCGGGTTAACGGCTCTGTTTAATCCTAATGTTCCAAATTCGCCTCAGTGCTTGCTGAGAGGTAGGCTTATAGGGTTGCATGATAATTAACCTCCATCGAAACCCGCAACAGTACCTGAAATGAATACGATATTCGAAATTGAGTGTCAAACTATGTTGCAGTCTAATTTGGTAGATGATTCATTGGTCATTGAAATGCATGCGTGGGTAAAAATGTGCACAAATTAGATGTTTGCCGACTTGCTGTTTTGTCCTCTCTTGCCTCTAGATTGGTCTCTATTGCCTCCTAAGCCACTACCAAACCCGTATGTGTGCGTTGTAATTAGGATATGTTTGGTGGTTCACCAACTTTTAAATTCACACATAGCCAACAATGGCCATTTGTTCTTCTCTGAATCCGAGAGTCTGCGATGTGAGATGTTTTCAAAGAGAAATCTGAGAAAGTGAGTGGAAATGAAAACCTCCCATTATGTCTCGCCTCATTACCTGTGAGACGTCTTGTCACAGAATTGCGATGTTACCCACAGATGACGGAAACTATAGGCCTACCAGGTAAAGATTAAAGGAGGAGTTTTCCTGTCTTGACAGTATATTCATAATTTAAATGGCTTATCGGGTCCTTTTATCCAAAGGTCCCGATACACCGAACATCCCCCCTCATTTACGCCTTATATATATATATATATATATATATATATATATATAAATATAGATTTTTATTATAGAATTTCAGACTATCCTGGCAATCCCATGGTTATAAGTGGATGATTTATTTATTTGTCACCGGATTTTTCGGCAAGTGAGCCATATGGTTCAGAACGCAGTTTCACAACCGCAGTCACATGTGAAAAGGCTGGATAATGACGTGCCAATAAGTCAGGATGACTCTTGTGTCATCGCCAGGGATGTGCTGAACACCTCAGGGTTGGTTACGAGAGAGGTCGACAGGGGCTGCCTGGCAGTCAGGTGCTTTGCGGCAGTTCTAGCTGGTCCATCGCCTCTACATGAAAGCGCTTCTTTCCCATACAGACCCCACACATCTGGAAGTCTTTAATGCAGAAATGACGTTCAGGTCTCCAGTAACACGCCTGCCACTCGCTTTCTTTTAAGGCTCAGCTTGACCGCTCGCGTTTGCTTGATGGATCGAGGTCGGCACGATCTCTGTTTGGTCTTGGCCATGCGAGGCTGCAAGAAATATTAAAGAAGTTTAAATAACTTGAAAAAAGTCCTCGGCAAAAAGTGCCGCGCCCCAAACCATCTTGAGATTTTCCTCCTTTTAAAGCCCCGGTGACGCCTCCGCGGAGAAGCTGCGGAAAAGGCGAGAGCAGTTCACCAGAAAGCTGACTGTTATATTGCTGGTGAAAATGTGCTCGTTTTGTGGCGATGGGTTTAAAAGCTATCCCACATTCTGCCTCCTTGAAATGTAGGGCAGGTGTGAGCGTGGAACGATTTCCAGAGTTCAGTCTATTTATAAGCATATCTGGCTTTCGCAGCATTTGCAGCGGGAAAGGGAATATCATATTTGGTGGCGTTGTGGTTACACAGATGGAAAAACCCTACTCTGAAAATAAACTTATGGTTCCCCTAAACTGGCTCACAGTCATTTTCATACCAGGGGTTTGCCGTACACAATGATGAGATATACATACTGAAATCACGGTACCGCTCTCACTTGGATTGCTATTCTAGTATATACAAGCAGGTGTACACATTCCTCTATTTATTTTTTTCTTGACATGTAGCTACAGTACCGTTATCTTGTGATTAAAGTTTAGTTTTGTCTGAAGTTCGTGGTTTCGTCACTATATTTAAACTCCGAAAGGCAAGTTTTAAAAATGACATGGGCACTTACCTTTTGTAAAAACCACTAAATATTTCAAACTGTGGAAGTATACATGTACTTGGCAGGAGCATTTTGCAAAGGTTTTTCCCAGTCTCCATGGTTTACACGAGTGTATCATTATCTATATACAATTAATCAAGTACGGCTAGTCCCGAAACAAAAGAACATCCTAATAATGTTATTTGTTCTCGTTTTTAAAATTCATCTAAGATTTCGGCTATTAAAGTTAAAATAATGTCATGTTCCATATCATTACATTGATTTGACAGTATAAATTCGTCTTGAAGAGTTACCATTTTTGAACAATTGATGTCGATTCGGAATCCATAAACCTAGTTAGCTCTGCAACATGAGAGCTTGCTATATTAATGTCTGTAGAAAAATAAAACGAGACTGGTAAAAAATTATATTTGTGGTACAAAAGTTTTAACATCGGGTCTCCAAATTGTAATACATGGTAATTACACAGTAATACTGTAGAATTCACAAACATTTCTCGCAGGCCTATAGATTCCTCAATCCGATTCGAACTAAATTATAGTACTCAAATTTTTATTCAAATAACACTCGCCAAAAATTATTAATCGGTTTATGAAATCAAAATGTAATGAGATTTAATGATTATTCTCCTATAGTAAAAAGTAGTAAACTTATTGTATTCGTAAAAAAGATATTTATCCATATATAAAATGCACAGACTTGCATGTTGTTTACTTTCGGTATGATACGTTACATATTTTTGTTTTGTGAAAATCCAGAATAATGAAAAGGCTGGGAACTCCATATACTAGAGACCTTACTATATGTGTAGTTTGTCTGGAGTTATAGTCCAAGAATAGTATGAGGACTTATGTATTGGTCGGTTGTCTAATTTGTATGTATTGGTCTGTTGTACAGTATTTATTATCACGATGTGGTTTAAAGAGGTGATTACTTTTTCCTATACTTGAATCTAATCAAAGGTGGCAGACACTGAAATTGCTCATCTCTAACTCCTACTGTTTCTCTGGAAAAGTGGGAGGGGGAATTCAGGTCTCCGTTCGCTAGCACTGTATGAGAAAATCCTGAGTACGTCAGAAGCTTTTCAAAGATCCCCCTTCATGCCTCTCTTTTTTGCAGTGTTGCACATCATCTCTGTTTAATGACATGATGGACTGTTTTGTGTCATTTACCCCATTCACAGATAGAAGTTTCACATAGCTGAACTCATAGTTTGGAGTATAATATGTAATTCTGAAAAATAGAACCATTGCAACTTTGAAAACATGTAATCTTGTAGTCTTATACTCTCCTGAGGAGTATTTTAGCAACTGTTTAGCAGCTTAAGGCGGCATAATAGACCTCTCTGTCTTAAATGGAATTTGTGATGACTGTAAAATGGCAGCATTTTTCAAAATACTCCGGAATGTAAGGTTTGGTTGACTTTTCACAAGGTTTACTGTATGCCATGACGTTCTTGGTTTTGAATTGATGGAAATTGCGCATGGTTTTAGCATGGTTAGCAAATACCCCACTCAGTGCTTCTTCTGTTGGTAAGGGATGTTTCTTCAGGAATAGTATGCGAGAAAGTAAATGGAACCCCCAAAATTCATAGTTTTTCTTTGCCTGAATTACACAGCCATGTATGAACCTGTGATGTAGTTAGAATATAAAAGGACTGTATTTAAAAGGTGCAAGTATCAAAGGGGGTGTTTGTCGTACCATCTACATACAATCCACAGTGTACAGTGGTTCGAAATAACGTTCCCCAGGACCATGGTGCAGTATACATACATAATGTACAGAGACTGTAAATAAGACAAGTGCAACACATGAAGGAAAGGGGGAAAGGAGAATAATACGAGCGTAGCTAACAAATAAAAGTAGAGAATACACATACACTGACACACAGGGGAGCTAGGGGTACCCTCACTATACAACAGATATGGTACAATAGATGTAACAATATGACAGATATAGTACAGATGTAGGAAAAGGTGCAGTGCTGGGCAGTGTCCAGTGGGTAAAGTGTCCAGTGCTGATAGTAAGCCTGGATTATAAAAGGGCAGGTAAAAAGTTCAGTTCTTTGGGGAAGAAGCTGTTGCCGAACCTAGCAGTGGAGCTTGGATGCCCCTGCATTTTCTGCCAGATGGGAGGAGGACAGAGAGAGTGTGAAGTAACGGAGGGGTCCTCCACAATGCTGGCCTCGTGTCACTCAACTCGGAGGCAAGACATTGCTGGATGTTTTTACTGGGCTGCCTCTGGTAGGTCTGGCTGTCAGGGTCGGTACAGTCTTTAGCTTCTGACCCTGTGCCCAGCAAGGCCAATCAGTTTTCAGAAGTTAGCGTCAAGTTTTGAGTTGAACCAAAATAAAAAAAATAAGTTTCTCCCAGAAAGTTTGGAAAAATCTCATTAAAAGGCTGGATTTACAGCCACCACCATTCCCTGTGTGGGAATATGCATGGAAGCGATGTTTGTGTGGGACATTTTAATGTATTATGTCCTGTACTGCATCTTACAATAAAGCTGTTCACAGAGGCTTTAAGACGCTGAAGTATCATTAAACATCCATGTGGGTGATGACCCTAATTTTAAAGATTTAATTAAAAAAGTAGCAAAATACGCATTTCTCACTGGCATGTGCTGTAAGAAAAGGTGAAGGTTGTCTAGTGGATCACGAATACATTATATTGTCAGGACCAAATGTCCCCACAATGTGCTAAGTATGTTTTTTTTTTTTTTCTTACTTTGTGGGAACCACCATTTTGGTCTCCACATGGGGAAACTCAATTTTACAAAAATCTATACAGTAGCTGCAATGAAGACCCTTTAGTGACAGCTTGCTGACGGCTGTCTCCTGATGTTTGATGCTCCTCACTGCCTTCCCAGAAGGACTGTGTTGTGCTGAAGTTGTGTCTGTTGCGAAGAGCTTGGTGTTGTAGACAGAGGCTTTTATTTACACTGCAGAGAAAGAGAGATACCACACATTTCCCAGAGCTTTCT